ATAACGAGCTAAACGGCCTTACTGGGTACTGCTGTGATGATTCCTGCCGAGATCCTGACAAGGAATGACTAAACTTGACAATCGGGATGAGTCTTGTCGCTTACTGGGCCAAGACTAGCTTTTTCTCACTTACCGGGTGTCCACCGGTACTGTGGGATGCCACCCCGAAGATCGGGATGTCATCGGGCTTCGTTGCTTGCTTGGACACATCTACTGAGAACTGACCCATGAGTTCGTATTTATGATCAGGGCCTTTCGGACATCCATCTATCCGGACACTATCGAGGCAAGATGACTCTTGCACTTGTGCCATCTCACTCGAGCATACCGTCCAACATAAGGGTCTCGTGGTGCAATCTTCGACACATGGATCGAGGTGCAAGGCCGGCACACCCGTGCTGGCCGACACTATCCTTAAGTTTTCTATCCTTAAAGGAAGTCGCCCAAGACACTCGTCTTGCAGACACTCGCCCTCACCATGACACACGCATGTGCCATGGGGTAGCTCACTTAGGCCCTGACATGGCCTAGGGGTGGTGGTGAGCCAATACCATGCCTCCCCCTATAGTACATTCTAAGGCAATCTTGGTCTGGCAGGCATGTACGTGCAAATTGGCAAGGAGTCACTCACCAACGTAGAGTGCACATCTGAACTCTGATTGACACAAAACTTGGCATGCTTGCATATCTCACTAATATGCATCTGGCTCTAAAGCCGCTCGTCCAAAATCTCGATGGAACCCTAACTTCTAGGGTCATGGCCCAGGGCCCCAACTGGCCCCCGTTGAGCTTGTCACCGACACCACTGACATCGCCTTCGTCTTGCATTCTGCATACGCCTTCTCTAGGCATTCTTGTGCACATCCTTTGGGTGTGATAGATGATGCACCATCCTCTTTAGTCACATCATGACACTTCTCTCTCAGCCCTCAACATGTCCCAACGGGCGACATATGAGTATCACCACCAGCGTCACAACCTACTATCTACTAGTATGGTTGTGACACGTTGCACCATCCGAACTAAATTCGACCGTCCCGCCATAGACTAGAATCGGCCACCGTTGCCCACCACTTCGACTATTCGAGGAAGGTAAAATCTTTGTTCTGATTTTGCGTATAAAACTTAGTTTAAAAAGATATTTTTTGTCTTCTTAAATTTCAGGTTATTTTAAAAAATATATATATAAATGTGGGACCTACCACATGAGCATGTTGTTAATAACCAAATTTGAGGAGTATATCTGACAAACTAACAGTAAAACTTAGAGGAGGAATATCTTGATGATCGAGTGAACGATTAAAGGCTGTTGGAATAATAGGGCGTCGAAGAGAAACGCGCACAATCACCTTAGACAATGAAGAAGAGGTATAAATACAACAGTTTATATATGACTTGTTTCTTTTTTAAAAAATCCTCTCATAGTTGATTTATCTTTATATATACAGATTGAATCATCAAGGACCTAGAGAGAGACTCCAATGAATGTGATGTTGTCTAGGGAAAGAAAAGTAAGAAATTGAAGGAGACCAGCAAAAAAATGAGTGGGGTAGACTTAGTCGGAGGTAAGACAAAATAGACTAAAGTTGACCCTAAAATAAATTTAGTTATAGAGTAGTACATATATGTATTGACTTTCGTATTTGGTTGTTTCTTGAATTGACACATACATCTATTGACTTTCATATTTTGTTAATTTTTGAATTATTAGTACATACATATATAGACGTTTTAATTTTGATGATTGAGTTGCATTGTGATTTATACGTGTATTATATTCTAATGTTGATTTTTTATCAACTGGTATATACATTTATTGACCGTATAATTTTGATAATTCTTCTAAATAATTCTTCTAATATCTGAGAGATGTTGAAATTGTCATACCCATTTTTTTCATTGCACATACCACCATATAGAATTGTGATTACTACATTCATCATTGTTGTACCCATTTTTTTCATTCCACGTACCACCATATAGAATTGTGATTACTACATTCACTATTTTTTTCCACGTACCACCATATAAAATTGTGATTACTACATTCACCATTTTTGTCATTCCACATACCACCATATAGAATAGATACAGTAGGTCCATTAGGTCCCCTTGCCAGCTCACAACAAGTAAAACGAGGATCAAGAATTATGAAATAATTTGAAATGTTCAAATTATATAATATACGTTGATACATTATATAAATATATGTTAATTTTGGATAAAGATTCAAAATTAATACAATGTATTTTGAGAGTCGGGATTAATGTTATGGAAGGAAAAAATTCCTATTTTCTACATTATGAATTCCCTTTAGGAATTTAAAAGAAGAAGATATCCTGATGGTCTTGGGATTTCTCCTAAATCTATATCTTATATCCAAAAGGATAAGATATCCTGATGGTCTTAGGATTTTCCCTCTATAAATATAATAGTAAGCTAAACCCTAAAGGAACTCTTAAAAAAAATCTCTCAAGTCTCTTGCTCTCTCAACCCCTTGCAATTGGATCCCACAATCTGGATTCTCGACCGAGAGACTTAGCGAGGAAGATCGAGTGGTGTTGTCTCATTGTGTTTACATGAAGAAGAGTCTTCAAAGGTAAAATCCAACATTCTTCTCTATTTTATATTTTTCTGTGTTTTAAATTTCAAAAGAAATTCAAGAACGCATTCTACTGCTTCCACTCCGAGATTCACATCCTTTCACAGGAGCATAATTTTGATTGGCAACCATGGCTGCCAACTGAGTAGGAGGATGTCTCTCTTGATAGCTATAATTTATCCAATTGAAACAAAGCGAGTTTCGTGTGCCCTGCTTGTTGAAAGATTTTGCAAATAATACGTTGAAAGGCGCCATCTGGAGAAGTTGATTTACCAAATGGAGCAAGTAAGGGCGATAAAGACAAACCTCGACCATGACCAGGAGTACCAAAATTGGGAGTCAGGGGAACCTCTGTCACGCCCTAAATTCGGATTGTTATTCTGATTCTAAGATGAATTTTGACTGGCGAGTAAAGCAATAGGCGAAGAGAAAGCCTCATCGCATTTGGACTATTTGTCAATCACAGCTTCCTCTGAAACTAGAAGAACACGAAGTTCATTAAACGAAACCGATAAGGACCGAGTGTGCATTGATGTTCGAAAGCTATTGTATTCAACAGAAAGTCCGTTTAAAATGTAGATGATAAGATCCTCGTCTTCAACAAGAACACTGATATTCGCCAATTTATCTTTAATTTCTTTAACTTGCTGAACATACGGCATTTCTTGGACACAGACTATAGATTGGTCTTTAGGTTTACAATATTTGTCCTTGAATTGTAAGAATAATGTTTCACTAGAGTCTCCCAAATCTCTTTAGATATTTCATAGCCAACTATATCTGATAGAGCAGTAGGCAAGAGAGTTGCATTGATTAAGGTCATGAGAACATGATCCTTACAATCCAATCTTCATAGATCGGATCAGATGCGGATACAGAAGATGAATAAGTTGTAGGCCGGGCAGACGAAAAAGGCTTCGGCTTAGGCACACAACCATCAATGAAACCAAATAACTTGTGATCTTTCAAGATGGATATGAGTTGAAACTTACAGAGAACAAAATTTGAAGAATCAAGGTGGATTGATACCATATTACATATATTTGACACGAGAAAGATAGGTGAAGCAAGATCTTTCGAGGAGATAAAGTCCACCATTGAAGCGACGTGAGTCAGAGAAGGGCTGATACCATGTAATAATCTCTATTAAGAAATAGAGTATGCTTCACTTAATTAATAATGAGTACAAAGTCTATATATAGATTGAATGGTATAGTTATAACTATCAAGAGGTTATAAACCAACTGATCTAGTAATACAATACTATTAAGTGGAACAGGCAAGCTTACTTTACTTTTCTTCTCTCTGTTCTATTTTTTAAAAAAAGAAAACTTAAGGACTATTAAATATAAAATTGAGTTTCTTGCCTAATAGGTCCTTAACCTTTAAATTTTAAATCAACAAATCTTTAAAGTTCAAAAAATGTATAATAAGTCAGTAATCAATTAGACACAATATTGAAAGTTTATGAACCGCTATTACATACATATTGCAAGTACATCAGATACTATATATGTTTATCGCATACATATATCAATAGTAAGATATATTACAAATATATATCATTTACCTATTGAACCTCTGTTTTTTTTTTAAGTACTATATTTGAAAAAACTAAACGTGGTTGCTATTCTACTGATTTTACTAAAATTTTTTGCCATATTTGAAACTGTGCCTAAAAACAATATTCAAATCACTAGAATAGTTACTTTTAGTAAGTTGAAAATTTTTTGCCATATTTGAAACTGTGCCTAAAAACAATATTCAAATCACTAGAATAGTTACTTTTAGTAAGTTGAGAGACTAAACTGGTTATTTTTTAAAAGTCATACAGGCTAAAATAGACATTTTATAATTGAGAGACCAAAATAAAATAAACCTAAAAGTGGAGGGATTAAAATAAGATTTAAACCCTTTATTATCTAAAATAGAAATATTCTTTTTTGCAAAGACAAAAAATTAGTTTAGTTATTATCTTAATTTTTGACATAAATACTGTTGGAGCAACCACTTGACCCTACAACATTTGGTGTCGAAAAATACATAGGAATTACTAATAAAATAACAATAATTCAATGACCCAACAACCAATTGATATGGAATATTTGATGAATAACTTGATTCATGTAAAAACTTATCGCATAGAATAATAAATGAATGTAAATTTGAATATAGTTTGGTTCAAAGCTCACATACTTGTTCAACTAATAATAATATTATTACGCTATTCTTTTATTCATGTGGTTTTATTTTTTAGGAAACTTTACAATAACATCCTAACAACACCCACTCTTTTTCTATATATATTTTGCAAAATAAAATTAAGTATATTGCAAAATTAAAAAAAATAAAAAAAGATAGATATATCTCACACCCTGAGACCAAGGCACGGATGGAATTAAAATCCTATCAAGGCACGTAAAACACCAACAAGAAAGTCAACTACGCAACTTAAAATAGACAAATAGCAAAGAAAACACTACAAACCTCATCAACAAACCACATCATAGCTTATCAACATGAAGGAGCTACAACAAATGCTATCTCAGGCTCCCAGCTAGTAGCACGAGCATAAACACACTCTAAACAAAATGTAAAATAACTAGGCCTGAATATGAAGAAACCTCATTTCATTTTTTTAATTCGTATTCAATTTATATTATTATAGATTTTTCTTTTCTTTTCTTTTTTTCTCCAGTAAAAAAATGAGTTAATGAAATAAACCTGCACATTGGGGATAAATTAAAATTTGAAACAATAGGAAGTTAAAACAATGCCCTATATATCAGAGATCACTCTGCATTTTAAAAACACTACCAATATCAATATAACTCAACGGTCAAAGCACCTTTCTTAGAAATTGAAACAATAGCAAATTGCTCTCTTGGATAAGCAATTTGCTATGACTAACATGCACAAAGGAGATCGAGAAATTTCAATTGCTTTCTTCCTTTAGGGATTTCAGTCATACCAGAGAGAGATTGGATTGCCATCAGAGAACCAGACTCCACAGTAAGGTGAGTTATTTGGTTTTGGTCAGCAAAAACGGACACCTTCGAGAATAGCCAATAACTCAGCCTGAAAGGGCTGCAACTGAAAGGGGGATCAAAATCGGACCTGTAATTGTTTTCTTCATTTTTAAAAGATAAACTTTACTTTCAAATGGCAGAGTTCTACTATTCTAACGAAGATTTAAAATCATTCCCTTCTTCTAAAAGTTCCCTTCCCTATCACCTAAATCAGAAGCTGACCTCAATTATAAACACATAAAAACTATAGCAATATGAAAGTCTATAGCACTTACTTGCCTTTAGCTTTTCTTTCTTTTATGCAGTCTCCATTGCTTCAGAATATGAGCTACACCTTCCTTTAATGTCGCTTTTCTTCCCTCTTTAAAGTTCCAAAGATCCAACACAGTATATCTACCACTAGGGTTATACTCGTTCATTTCCATCAACGCTGTCACGACAGCCTCGTAAACTTCATCTCCATACTCATTCTTCAAACCTTTTAACATCTCATCATTTTCATCTATAATTTCCTGAAAAAGATCCATTCATGTTAACAAGAAGTCACAGGATTTAAATCATTAGAGAGATAATATCTATGAGCAGGTGGCACATGGCATTGGACAAGCCAGATCCACTCCTTTCCAAATCAACAACTTCAGGAAATAAACTCACGACACATTTGATAAGCCCCTAACAATTTGGTTTCTTTTGTTCTGTTTTTTAATGATGTCCACTTCCACTTAATTTCATTGATATTTTTTTTACCATTCTTACGAATACATTTGAAATCTGAGCCAACGTTTAGAAACAAAATAAAATTTTCAAAACTAATTTTTTTTAGATCTTAAAATTAAAATTTATCATAGATTTTAAAGATTTTTTTTCACGGGTAGATAACAAAGTAAAGAAACCCAAAGGTGAAGTGTTTAATAAACTAAAATGTACACAACAGTACACCAAAAACAAAATAATTACTAATTGGGTTTTTTTTTTTAATATTATGCATAATTATCCCAAAATCATAACAAGCCGAAAGGAAAAACTCTCTGCATACCTTAGCTTGTCCTCCATCGCCCTCTATAATCCTGAAAGGATGCCAGCTAGGGTCACGAATTTGATCCTCCCACAGTGAACACAACTCTACTGCTTTCGCTTCTGCTTCTTCCTTGACATACTTCAACTTTGTGGCTTCGCAGAATGGTTTGCTGTCAAGATCTCTCATTCTCTTGACACGAATAGCGGCTCGGTTCGACGTACCTCCAAACACCTGTGGAATAAAGGAATTAAAGTTACAAGGCATGAAAGGTGCTATCCAGTAGTCGGTATCAATATTGGCCATGTAATTTGACTTTCTTGAAGTCAATGTATTTAGCTAAGCACAAACAAGAAATCAATGGTAAAATTCAAAATTGCAACTACATACATTGATCAATTCTTTACGCGCCTCTTGAACTTCATCGTTTGTTCTACGCTCTTTGATGATGAGGTTTTGATTGATGTTTTGATAGTATTCAAATTCTTCTTCCTTCTCATCCAAATCTTGTTGAATCTGGTCCATTTCTCTCTTGGCATCATCATCATCCTCATTCATGTGTTTCATGACTTCTAACGAACCCTTCAACCTCTCAATTTCCAACTCTAATGCTTGTTTAGCATCAAGTTTCTGCTCCAGCTCTAGTATCTTTTTGTGAAGCTTCTCCTTCTCTTTCTGCAATAAGAAGTAAATTATAAGCACCCTATTTTCATCACAAACTAGTCTACATTACCACCGAATGCTCTCCCAAACACACTCATAGTCCATTTGAGTTCTTTGTAATCACATAATATTTTTGAATGGATGTTGCAAATATTTGCTTCCAAAACCTAGAGCTTGTTTCGTTTGTAATTCTTGTGTTTTAGATTTTTATGCTAGAATCATTCAAATAGCCTTTATCAAGCTATCATGTTGAAAGGTCCAAATCTTGGGTTTAGGAACAAAATTTCTATACTCTTGATGTTGATCATCAAGATAATTCATTCTAGCCTTCCCTTAGATTGATACAACTTGAACTATAAAACACGGACACGGCAAAAAAAGAGAAGTATCTGTGTCGGACACGTGTCGAACACAGATACGTCCAGACACGCTCCGGACACGTATCCGACACGCAATTTGAAGTGTCCCAATATTTCTTTTTTTTTTTATTTCAGACACGTGGGGACACATTTGGACACGGGAGGGACACGCCAGATAAAAAAATGTTGTTTCTTTAGCCTAATTTTGGAAGCCCAAGAAGTCTAGTTGAAATCTCGAAAACTTAAACTACAAAAAAAACCTAAAACGCTACCTAAGTGACCCACCCTTCTGTTTGTGTGAGTTAAATTAAATAAGCTCTATTCTTACTTTCTTTTTTCCTAATTTCATATGAATTAAACTATAGTAGAATATGTTTTACTAAATTAGGATGACAACTTCGACCCAATAATCAAATTCAAATCCTTCTCTAGGATTTTTTAGTGGATTACATTTACTATTTTTATCTTTTTAGTGGGGTACATCTTCAACCCAATAAATTGACTCGACATTTATGCTTTTTAGTGAAGTATATTTAGCATTTTATGTTAAATTTATCTATATCCTAAAAAAAATAATAAATAAATAACGTATCCCCGGCGTGTCCGTGTCTTAGTTTTTTAGAAATTGACGTATCGTCGTGTCCTGTCGTGTCTGTACTTCTTAGAACTTGAATTTGGGTTTCAGTGTTTTATGTTAAAAGGGTTCAAATTTCAGGGAGGATGTTCACTCCTACTAAGGTTCTTTTACACTTTTTCACTTGCCTTAATAACCACTAGATATTTCTCAAAAATATGAGAAAGTTCCCCACTCAAGTTTCTGTAATATCTAAGCCTAAAATTTAAGTATGGAGATTTTTTTACCAAAAAGAAAAGAAAAAAAAAAGGCACCCTATTCCAAAATACTTCTGGATGGATATGCATCCTAACAGAAGTTAAAATTTAACGAACAAGCCATGACCCTTGTGGAAGCTACCTCCAAGACATCCAAACAAAAGAATGGATATGCATCCTTTCAGGAACACCCAACATGTATTAAACAGAAAAAGGAGCATGACCCAAAACTTTGTAATGAACCCACAATGAAGAAAGAGGTGACTAACTGATTTATTAGCCTGCAAACAAATGAAATATTAAGATGAAGAAAGAAAAGAAAATACCTACTTTTCTAAAATATTTTACCTTTTGAAACCAAATCACAAAGAACCTAAATCTTATATATGGAAGACCTCTAAACCATGCGAAATGAGCAGTACCAGAAAGAGGTTTGGAAAGGCCAGATTCAGGAAGAAAAAAAAAAAAAAAAACATGAAAAGGAACTAGTAAGATGCTTGCACCAAAATCTTCTTCCTGTTGAAGATACTCCCATCATGAATGAAACTCGAGAGAACAGAAAATGCAGAAGGCTCTAAGTCATTGTATAATATATATTTTTTCCAAAATATGAAAAACAAAATTTATGCTATAAAATAAATATAGAACTAATTAGGCAATAATGGTTAAGGAAATACAATGAAGATGAAACGGTTCAGAAAAGAAGAAATGCAGAACAAAGAACCTAATAGGAAGAGGGTACATTAGTCATTAGTAGGCTTAAACTTTGAATTAAGATAACAAATAGTGAGTGTTGGGGGATCTGGAATTTCGGGAAGATTGGCAGACATTAGGTAAAAAAATTGCAGGAGAGAGAGAGACAGCCCTCAGTAAGGCAATCAAACAATTCTACTAGGCTTGCTAATAATTTTCTACTCTGTACATCAGATTCCCACAATAATATTCTTGAAAGAAAATTCTATAGTCATCTCCTAAACTAACGTTTACAGGGGGAAAAGAATCATTCCCAAGGAACTTCGAATCCAAACCATTATTGCAAACACCATATTTACCTTTATTATAAAAGACAAAAATATGAAAATCGTGAAGTTCCACAATTTCTTACCACAGAGACCTTTGTTTTGAAGAAAAAGATAGCCAATTACCAAAACCCCAAAGATTTATGAAAACTGATAGGAATGTCTTTGGGGTAATTCAGGATATTAGTAGATAAGAAATTGGTTAGTAGAGATTTGTGATAAATAGAGTAAGGGGGAAGAGATGAAGGTAAGGAATTGTTTAGTGTGGTTCACGCTTGAGTAAGAATACTCAATAGAGGGGAGAGTCCAAGTACCTCAAATTACTTGAAAGTTGTTGTGGTTCTTCTATCTTTTATATTTCAATATATTTCTAGTTGTTTGGGTTCTATCAAAAGCCTCCACAAATATCTACAACCAAAGGCATATAATAAAGGCATAGAAAGACCCTAAGAAATTATAAATACGAGCACACCTTTTGTTCCCCAGCTAAGTGCAAGACTTCATCTTCTGCCTTCTTTTGCTCCAAAGTGGCCCTTGCATTCTGACAAAAAAGTTCATATTAGACAATAAAAAATTAGTTCCTATCAAGAAGATCTATTCTCAAGACTCTCAACAAGAGTATCCAGTAAATTAGCCACTAGCCAGCTAGAGCCACAATTTAAATGTTTTAAAATGATAAATACAATGGAGGTACACAGAGCTGTCTTCAATATTGGGTACTTCGTAGAAATTTATGACTAGAAACATGATGTAGCGCAATATGGAAAGGAAGCAATGTTACATTTGAGCATATTAGATTAAAAATTATAAATTAATAGGACTTCAAATATCATGCAAATTTTCAAATTAGTCTGTCCGTTTTAGTTCAAGTTACAGATACTCTTGCAAAATAAAATACACACCTCTGAAGGTAAAATCTCTCAAACTATAGAATGCTAAAAAACGATATTAAGAAAGCTTACTCAAGACGAAACAAGAGAAAAGTATAAAGTACCATTTTCTTCTCCTGATACAACTTCCTCCTCTCATTATCATTTTTAGCCTCACGATGAAGCAGACTATGTTCACGTTTCTGAAGCTCCTTCTTCTGATTTTCCAATTTTAGTTTAACTTTTTCGTGCTCTGAGACAATATGTTTAAAACGATCCTGTTCATCCTGCTGCATCCTTCTAATTTCTAGAGAAGTGAAAAAAAGAGTAAGCTATGGAAAAATATAATGTCCAAGAACTAAATCTTTGTGCGCAGAATTACACTATTATCAACCAAAGGTCCAAAGAAAATGCAATCTTACTGTCATTGTGAGTTTTAACTGTCTCATCCATCTGATCCATCAAATTAGTCAGGGACGCATTAGTCGCTCGAACTTTGTGAGCGATCTCTTTCAGGTGTAGATTCTTAGTTTCTAGTGTATTAGCTAAGTTTGAGAAGAGCTTTAATGCTTTACTATTATCTTCAGCCTCTTTACCCGATACAGTTTTCAAGTCCCCATTCCTCTGAAGATAATCCCCAAAAATGCTTTTTGAATAGTAATCATCATCTCTTGCCACCCAACCATATAGTTTCTCTCCTCGGTGCCTTGAAACATTATAGTCCCTCTTCCCGTGATGGTCAACTTCAAAACTCTTTTCAAACATTATAGCATTTCTAAAACCATCCCAATCCTTGTTAAACTCAACAACTGCAAATCCAGAATGACCAAAGCGGTTCCACAATGGATGAACCTTCAAAGGATTAAAACCTTGTCGGGTAAATTCATCTCGAAGTTTGGAACCACTTTCCCCAACATGTCGTCCCGCTTTTATCACTGTTTGTATGTTTGCTACAATAGCCATCCAAGGCCAGACAAACAACTGATCATGATCGTAGTGCTGCTTATTGCTGATAGGTTGAGGTTGATCCTCAGCACAAACATACTTGTTCTTGTGCCTCTCATGGCTGAGAGGTTGAGGTTGATCCTCAGTACAAACATACTTGTTCTTGTGCCTCTCTTGGCTGGCA